CCAGAACTCTAGCAACTTGTATTCTACTTCCCTGTATTAAAAATATCCATTATCTTAACTATTTTAATTGAAAGATTTAATTTTATGATTATTCAATCGTTGCCTACATTTTCTATGATAATATTTATTTATTTCAGTACTATCTTTGCAACCCTACTCAGACCACGTAGCTGGCGTAATTTTACATAAAGCTATAAAAGGTGTACTGCAAAAGACATGATTTTGTATCACAAAAACGTAACTAATACTAATTTCTGTTTATTTTGTTGTGATATATAAGTCTGGACAGTTTTGAGTAAACTGTACGGTCGCCAATTTCAGCATTATTGAAAATAATAGCTTATAATATTGATATTTATAAATATATTACACAAGTTTTATCTACCTTTATGAAAGTACTGTGAAATATAATTAATTTCTAGCATGCATTAAACGGGTTTTAGTGTATTTCTGTTTAAAGTTAAAACAAATACTATTAGTACGTATGTTGCTTAAGTTATGAACCTAAAGTACTACTATTGACACTATTGTTATTGATAACGTGGTCAATATGCGCAAGCCGATTAACCACTTAAAGCAAAGCATTATACTAAAAACCTACTTGCTAAAAGTAATATAAAACGTACATCAGTCGATGGTAAACATGTTGGACTAATAAATGTTAATGTTTTAATTCCTGCGGTAAAACGTTGTCCCCTCTTCTCTTGTTTTATATTAAAATCGTCGGGCTTCCTTCTTACAACTGATTACAAAATAAACTATTTTAAAATATTTGGTTGAAAGCCAAAAAATTCTTTAAACATTGTTGTTGTTGTTATTTTTTGTTAACTTATTCATAATTTCTTCAGTTGCAGTTAGTGTAATTAAGTGCAGTAAAGTTTAATAGATATCTTACAAATTGGGAGGTTTCTCCAAAACTAAAACTTCTATATCAGTTAATAAATTTTAAAAGATAGCAGGACTACAAGTCGAAGTTTACAATATCCCTAACATCTTAGATTTTTCAGATTTACTTAGTATTTCCTTATCGACTAGCCACTCCGTTAATTCGTTTTTGTCCTAACACTAATCACGTAGCTTTTACAAACTATTTCCAGCGGCTCGGATAACTTTATTTATCTTCGTTTCAACTAAGCGCAAAATTGGATTACTTTTTTCTTTTTTCTAAAAAAAAATAATCAGCGGGCTTATGCTTTTGTTTAAGAAATGTCAAAAGAAACAAATTCATTAGGTTATTAATAAGATACACACGATTTAAATTACAAATAAACGTTACGAATTCAATCGAATCTGACGAAGGGGCACGTTTCGAGGGCAAATACTTTCGAATTCAATGAACCTCAGCGTTCAACGCTGGTTCCAGCTGCCTCAGGGCGCTGAACCACCGCCAAATTGGCCGACAAATATCACTCCAGTGTTATTTGTTGACAAACAGAGCCCAATTACCAGTAAAATAATTATCTCATTGCTGGGGCGTTGGCGACAGCGTAAAGACTGAGCTTGGTTAGGCTTAATGCAATCACGGCTTCCTTAGTGCGATGCTGCTAAGGGACGGGCACGTGCTAATCTCGTCTCTACCTGGACTCGAAAACGCCCAATACTGCTGCTTGCCGTTCAAATCTAATGGTTGGATCTTTATTAATCCAATTTTGATCAAGCTTCCGAAATTATGTTGCCATTCAAAATAAACAATGGAAGCGACTACCGGTTGTTTCTAACCCAGTTAAGGGGTCCACAGTAAATCTGAAACCAGCGAAGCGTGAAATTTAGCTATCGGCAGCGCGAATCTGGAATCTTGAATCAGCAAAGAGAGAATACTAGCAAGCGTTGTACACTCTTTCGGTAACAAAGTATTGATTCTTGAAGCACACCATTACAAATTTTGGAAAATGATAAATAATATTTTAGGTGGTTTTTATCCGTATTTCTTAAAAATAATACAGTAATGATTGTTTTTTGTCATATGTTCTGAAAACTTGATTATATATTCGTCTTTAAGTATAAGTTTGCTTCTTTGTTCTGAACAACCATATTAAAAATATTAATGTACTAAATGTTAGGTTAACTAATTAAACTTTGAAAAGTACTTTTCCGTTATAACCCCGCAAATCTTAATAAGCTTTAAAAGAAGAATACATATATACAAATATGTATATACATATATAAATATACTTTTTCTTCATACAGTAAATGTCCATAATAAATTTCTAAAAATATATTAATAAGCATTGTATTCATTTGCGCGGGAATAACGGAAAAGTACTCTTTGAAATTTAAAAAAATAACACATGCCTGCGAATTTAAATTTCATACAAGTTGTTTTGATTTTAAAAACAAATTTTCCATAATTCAACTATACAGATTTCGAAAATAATATTCTTATTTTTTCTATCACGTAAGAGAGGGAAAAACAGTCTTATTTAAATCAAATTGTTATTTCGTTTACCACAATGAACATTTCTTATTATTATGTTTGGGTTCTAGAACGATCGATAAGACTCTCACGTCGCAATTGGTCTAGAGAAATCTATAACCAGTGTTTGTCAACATTTTAAACGTAACAAAATGTAACCCGATTTCAATGAAGTACATATGACGTTTTACGAAAAATCTGTACGTGATGGAGAAAAATGGATATCATTTTCAGGTTCAGCGTAAGGAATTACCGTAGATCATGTAAAAATTTCAAGACAATAAAACCATCGCAGGCCTGTGTAACCAAATTGAAGTAATAAGCACTTTTTTGTCAGTAAAATTACACCGTTACAAATGAATTGAAAAATCCTATTTATTTGAAAAAAAAAGACAAAATAGCCATTATTGTACGTTTCAAGTTTACTTCTTCGTGTAGCTTTTCTTTATAATTTTTAAAAATATATTATTAGCTTTAATAATATTAATAACTACAGCAACAGAGTTTGGTATGTAATAAACGCAGACATAAGCGGAAGAGGTCGTGATAAGTAATTTCGTTTGTGTCTATCGACTGATTATAAGTTGTTGTTGTTTTACAAGTTACAGCTTTCGCAGTTAGGAAGATTTAAAAAATAGATACAACCTTTCGACCTCTAGTGGGAGGGATTATTTTCAAGTTCACTGATTTAAACGGCTTTTCTGTATCGTTAAAACCCGCGAGATTGAGAATGATCGCATCAGTGAATGAAACATTGTACTTGTTAAAAAGAAAAAGAAGGAAAAAAGGAGCCTGGTAAGATTCATTCAACACCAAAGCAGTACTGTTATTTTTGTTGTTAAGTGCAACACTAAACGGCAGGCAAATTTTGCTATACCCAACACATGGGCCGATTTTTAGTAATAAGCCAGCAAGGTTTTCGCTAATACACGGGGTAGGGATAGTAACACTATTGAATAAAATAAGCCTATTATAGTTTAACATTTTATTCTGTCAATTTTCTTGAAGTGGATGTTCTTTTAATGTTAAATATATATATATATTTATTGTGCATAATAGGAATCCTTATTATGCACTAGGTAGATTTGGGATAAATACGGCTTTAGGATAATGTGACTCAACATATTTTAAGGCTTGAACCGTATTTACTGCATAATGTTTTTTTTTTCTTTCGCATGGTAATATTAACTATCTTTAAACTATTTGTATTTATGGCAAAGCAACTAAGGCTATGTGCTGCCTTCCCTCACTTTGAGTTTGACCTACTGACACTACCACATTTTAACCCCCCCCCCCTTCAGAATACAAACAAGCTCAAAAGAATAAGATTATAAATCGTAAGAAGCATGCTTTTAAATGTACATTTTGAGGATCTAAAACTGGTGAAATCCATTTCATGTATATTTTAACAAATATATTGAGGTCGAAACGTTGTTTTTAGCCTTGTAATGGAAAAAAAAATCTTCATTCTGTAATCAGATTTTCCTCAAAAGGCAATTTACGGTTTAGATGCTTATTCTGATACTTGAAGAGGTTTTTGTTAAATTTTGATAGCCTCTGAGGCATGACTTCGTATTTGGTTACAGGTAGCCATACATTAAAGCCTAAGTTTACGAATTTGATGACGAGGAAACCATCTTTTAAGAAATAAAGTTTCGAGACGGCTTGAACGGGTATTACAAATGCATAAATGTTGATGGCGCGTTGTTTATTGTTGTACTTATCTGGTTTGACGTAACGGGCAAGTTGGTGGTATAATTCTTGTTTACGTTTTAATAAGTAGTTTAGTTCTTGATATTTAGTTTCTTTCAAAGCTGTCACCAAACGTTAAGCGTATGAACGTGTTAAACGTTTAATCGGTGCTACAGTTGGATATAATTAAAATGACGATTTTTATAAACACGTGTAAGCTATTTTTAACACTTTACGCGTAATGTTGTAAACAAGCAGGCTACAATACCGTTAAAAGTACCTACTGAAAGATTATATTGAACAGGAAGAATCATGGTACATGAATGGAAAACTGTGTTAAATAACAAAAAGAAAGGAAAAAAAAAGACATGGTTTGTTAAACTTTATAATTTTATATATGCACTTATCAAATGCTTTTGATTAGCTTGATTTATAACAATATGTAAGAAATATAAAAATTTACTATCAAGACAAATACATTCTTTGGAACATCCACCTTCAACTTAATTTTCCCTATCAAACTAATAGGGCTGCAAGTTCTACATTTAGAACATGAATCCCAAAGATTGTTTTTATAAACTTGTTCAGAAACTAGTTTATGCTCAAGAGTTGTTTGTTTTGAATTCTTTTACTACTAGTGTAAAGTTAATATAATTTTCTACACCACAATTTGTTTTGAATCCATTAAGAAAATCAAATCTTAATGTACCAAAGCTCTGGATGTTCTACTTTATTAAGTTTTAATCAACACTAACCTTGTACAATGTGTGAACATTATATACATTTCATATTCAATTGTTTTAATCAATTTTTATCTCACGTTTTGTAATAATATAATTCATGAAAAATGTATGTTGTGTACTACTATAAACAATGAAACCAAAAAATCAAAGTATCTAAGATATTGTTGATGCTTTAATCGTAGACATCTAGAAATACAAAATTCAAATATTTGAGATCTTTATTTAATAGTTTTTGCTATTTTAAGCTCTGTCCTCATCCTACAGAGAAACCTTGACTGAGTAACAAATTACTACAGAGTAGCAAGTCTAGGAAAAGACAGTAAAATGATAAAGTAACACTTGAAAATTTTGTAACTATACAATCAATCATAATGCATGGTCAACATATTATACTAGACTATTAGTTAAAATCAGCTGACATTATGTGTTCTTATAATAATAAAAAAAAATATATAGTACACAGTACTTCATATATCACAAAACAATTAGCACTGAATTACACCAATTACATATAATGGTAAACATTAATAAAATCAAACTAGAATTACATGTTTCAGCTCTTCCATACAAAACTATTAACTATAGTAAAAGTTACCAAGTTTTTGATTTGCAATAAATTTCCAAGGTAACAAAGTTAAACACTGTTAAATATTACTGTGATGCATTTTAACTTAGGTTATTTTTTCTAGTTTTTTAATACAAAATAAAATGTGCTTTAACTAAAAAAAAACAAAACGTGTTTCTACATTTTGTATAATGACTAGGTAAAAGCTTTTCCACTATTTCCTATTGTGTGGAGCATACAATTTTTAACTGGAATGTTTGTGAAAGCATGATTAATCTCAAAGTAGTTTGGGTTTGTAAAAAAAAAACTACATAAATACTTGCGTACAAGCAAAACAGACTTAAATAATAAACATTATATAAGTTTAGATGATACATAGTGAAAAAAAAAACAACACAAAATGTAATGTCGCAGAAAACAAACAGACTGAATATAGCTTGGTCAAAAGCACATAATTTGCCTACACATTTTATACTATTGAACATTTTCAAAATTCTGGTACAATTTTATCTTATTGGAAGTTATATAAAAATAATTTTTTGAAACACTAGTCTATTTACAAGATGGTAGTGTTAATATTTTAAAACCTACAAAATATCTTTGCATAGCTACAATGTAACAAAAATCACACACACTATAAAACCTGTGAAAATCTTTATATGATGAAAACTAATGTAAAGCTACATGTTCTATCTGAGGCTAATGTAATTCTGCTTATTATTGGAAACCAATACTGTCTAAGCCACGTTGTCTATGGCAAGAGCTGGCAGCAAACACTTGACAGCTGTCTTATAACTTGGATGTACTTCTGTCAGACAACATTTGGGTAAAAATGGACTGGGGATTACTTGACAGAACAGAAGGATCTTCAAACTCAACAATCTGAAAAAAAGATCAAATCTAGTAAAAATGATGATGGCTTATCCTAATTTTAAACACATCAGAATAAGAAAGATATTTAGAGAATTTAAAAACATGTAAAAGTAATTATTTGAATACTTTTTTAAATTTATGTTAGCAGAAACTTGAAATCCGAAGTCTGTGCTCAGTAATGGTAGATTCCAGATAATCAGAACAGAAGAATGGTTAAAATAGCACACAGAAATGTTGTCAACCATATGACCTAGGTCCTGATGAAAATCATTTCACCTTTGTCTTTCATAAGTACCAATTTTCATCACTTCGGTATTTTAAAATTTTGTAAGGCTATAAAATACACATGTTTATTAATTGTGTTACTTTAAATGTAAAGTAAATCCTTGCTTATTATGTCTTATTACAAAATTAAGTACTTTAATCAGTTTTGTCTTAATTCTTTGTACAGTTTACTTGTGTCAGATATTTAAGCAAAGCTACACAGAGGCTATATGCAATACCCATCCACAAATAAAAGCAGGTTTCAGATATTTAAGCAAAGCTACACAGAGGCTATATGCAATACCCATCCACAAATAAAAGCAGGTTTCAGATATTTAAGCAAAGCTACACAGAGGCTATATGCAATACCCATCCACAAATAAAAGCAGGTTTCAGATATTCAAGCAAAGCTACACAGAGGCTATATGCAATACCCATCCACAAATAAAAGCAGGTTTCAGATATTTAAGCAAAGCTACACAGAGGCTATATGCAATACCCATCCACAAATAAAAGCAGGTAGTCAAAAGCAACCATTACCAACCCTTCGGTTATTTTAATTAAACAATAGGATTTGGCCAATTACTCTTATTAACATATTTACAGCCCCAAAATGTAGAGCATAATTGTGCAGCAACAGGACACAAACCATGGACCTTTCAAAATTATAACAAGACTATTAAATTAGTAGTTTATTCCTCTCATGGCAACTAATACCTGATAGTCGTTACTCAGTAGCAATGTTGGAAATATCCCAAAATTTCTAGGTTAACACTTTACTAAGTACTGTTGGAATAATTGTTTTCTTGAATATTGAATTTTTTGGGGCATCATTTACATAAAGCATGCTGAACAATAAAAAACATCACGATATAAGAATGTAATATTCTTAACTTAAGGATGAAAAACAGATAAATGTGAAAATTAGTTATACAAGGATTTTTATCACAACAAAACTTAATAGTACTTGGTAAGTCACACCATAAAAAGTTTATCTAACAGTAAATAAGTATTTAGGTGTTATTTAATCTTGAAAGATTTATAATTAATATAAAAAACAATCATCATTAATAGATTTAACTTATAATACATATATAACACTAACATCAAATATGCTTACCTTGCCTTCTTGAAGTACCATAACTCTGTCACAGTTGAGGACAGTCGAAAGTCGGTGAGCAATGATTAAAACTGTGCTTTCTGCAAACACCTCTTTGATGGTTTGTTGAATTAAGTGGTCTGTTTCCAAGTCAATAGCAGCTGTTGCTTCATCGAGAAGCAACACCTAATAATAAAATACCATTGCATTTTAAAGCAGTTTGAAACAATGTTATGGTGGTACATTTCTGGACTTCAACCACCTGAGGTATAATCACGACTATCAATGTTTTGGCTGTCATATGTTTCTCAAGTTAACGACTTGAAAATGTCAGCAATGTTAAGATTTCAAGCAGCTGAAGTCCAGTAAAAACACTATGTACTTATAGTACTATATTATATAGATGCGTCATGTTCCTTTATTTCTTATGTACTTATAGTACTATATTAAACACCTTTCAGATGCGTCATGTTCCTTTATTTCTTATGTACTTATAGTACTATATTAAACACCTTTCAGATGCGTC